TCTCCTCCTCTTCTTCTTCTTCTTCTTCTTCTTCTTCTTCTTCTTCTTCTTCTTCTTCTTCTTCTTCTTCTTCTTCTTCATCTTCCTCCTCCTCCTTCTTCTTCATCTTTTTTCCTTCTTCTTCCTCTTCCTCTTCTTCTTCTTCTTCCTCTTTCTCTTCCTCCTCCTCCTCCTCCTCTTCTTCTTCTTCCTCCTCCTCCTCCTCCTCCTCTTCCTCCTCCTCCTTCTTCTTCTTCATAGGGTCTACACCCAATGATGTTAGAGTCTCTGCATTACTCAACCCTGATAATTAGTCCTGTGCTGTAGGACAGCAGGGATATAGCCAGAGGGGCTGGGATTTGAACTCAAGGCCTCAAATGTACAATGAATTCCACCACTTGGATCAGACCCCTAATCTGACTTCATTTAGTTTTTATTAAACTGAAAAGAAATGATAAATTCTGATGGCTTTATTTCATAAGATTTCAGAGGAAATGATCTTAGAGACTTAAATCATTCAAAATAATATACTGGTTGCTTGCCTTCTCGGAGAAGAAAGAGGGGATGACAGGGCGCTTGTGACAGAAAGAAGACAGTTTAAAATCCTGTTGTGATTTTAGAAATTCCATAGGAAAATAAATTATTTTGTGAAAAATGAAATGGAGAGGTTGGAATGATCAGCCTGTGCTCTGCTTCAAAAGGCCAAGCACATGCTTTACATGCTGGAGCTCCAAGGTCTGTCTCCAGCACCACCTGGTCTCTGAACAACCCTGAGAACTTCCCCAAAGCACAGTGCTGGGAGTAACCTACAAGCATTCTTTGGAGTGGCTAACATACAAAAGGAAATGTCATATGACCTATAAATACCACTCCAAGGCATTTACCTGAAAGACCAGAAAACACGGATTCTCTAGGGCATTGGCATCCCCCAAGAGCAACCTTATGGAGTGCCCTGCCACAGAGGCAGGTTGGGATGGGGGGGATGGGTGGTGGGAGAGATACTGGGATCCGTGGTGGTGGGAAATGGGCACTGGTGGAGGGATGGGTATTTGATCATTTTATAATTGAAACCCAAGCACAAAAATTTGTAAGTCTACAACTGTACCTCATGGTGTTTCACTAATAAAAATTAAAAAAAAAAAAAGAGCAGCCTTATTTCCTGTAGTCCAAACATGGTATCAAACAGATGGTCACTGAAACTACTGAAGCTGCTCTACCTACCATTACAAAGATAACATTGTGTTTGGGGAATAAATGAATGGAACTTGAAATGATTTTGTTAAGTGCAAGAAGTCAGGAAGTGAAAGACTTCTGTTTGTTTTAGTTCTGCTTATTTGTTTTTGTTTGTTTTGGGCCCACACACACAGTGGTGCTCTAGAAGCCACATGTTCCAAGAACCTAAGAAACCCACAAGCAAAGCATGTGCACATGTTCAGCTCCACTGAGTTATCTTATCTGGTCCCACGGAAGAGAAATTAGTTAATTTAACTCCAATGTGGAATATGAATAAAGCAAATGAATTTACAAAATGCAACACAAACTAGACTAGGTGAAAACTGGTTACCAAAGGGAAAGCAGATAAAGGTTAGAGCAAAGGGCAAAAGTTTCTTTTGATCATAAGATGGAACAATGGTCAAGTTTTTATACTCACATGGAAGTATAAAGGTACCTCAGAAATTCTACAGCATGGTTGACCAGTGATTTTTTAAAAATTTTACTAAAGCATCATGACTTACAAAGTTATTCATAGTTGGGTTTTGGATATCCTATATATAAATGGAACTGGAAAATATGTTAAATGAATTAAGCAATACTACTTTTAAAGTTTCATTCAAACTCAAACACTATGTTTTGCTCTCATTAAGTATTGTCTAGGTCTCTAAGTAAAAAAAGACTAAGAGGTTTTCAAAAATATCTAACTTGAGACTTTAAAGTTGTTTCTAGGTGTCAACCCTTTAATTGCAAGACTAATGCATTTCAAAATAAAATGGTATGTTTTAGAAATGAATTTTTCTCTTTAATTATAAAGCACAGTTATTTTAGATAATTATACTAATTATATATAATGACATTATGTAAAGAAGTAGAGATAGATTTAAACAGAATGATATAGTCATAGGTATTGATAGATATAGAAGTATACAGGTTTGATATCATGGGTTCTTTTGTTGATAAGAAAGTTTGAGGCCCTTTGGTATGCAGCTTCCATTGTGCCTGCAATGTATTTTAATTCAAATACTACTATTCAGTCTAAACGCAACTAAATTAAATTTCTTCCATACATTTGTTCAAGAAAGGAACAAATAAGAGATGGGGACGTTCTTGATGTCAAAATCTACAGAGAAATCATGTGGCTGTGGGTAGTGCTGGAGACAGGGTCAAGGGAAAAAAATACATTTTTGTGCAAATCCGGTGTCTGGAGGCTTTATCAACATGTTGCACAGACAGATATGTGGGAGGAAATAGAATCTCTGGGATAGGTACAGTGACCAAAAAAAAAAAAAAAGAAGAAGAAGATTCATATCTTGAGCAGGAGAATGGGTGAGGGTGGAAATTTTTTTATAAGGTTAGGAGAAGAGAGAAAACTGACACAAAAAGAGTGTATAAGTGAAGGCTGATGGGAGAGAGAGGTTAGCATTGAGCAGTTAACTAGAGTTAAAAACCACAATTCCCCATTTTGTCCAGTTTTGACCTATTTTCAATTTTTAAGGATCTTCTGGGGACAAAGATTTCTTTTTGATGCCTTTGCTTTCTTTCATCGCTTAATAATTGCTTCTATTTTTCAGCTTTTACTAAAAAGGCTATTTCTCAGCCTGGGAATGCATTGGCACTGAAGGTGAGAAACAGAAGAAATACTTTGAGCTCTTGCGAAGAAGAGCACTTTATAAATCAAAGGCATTGCTATATTGTTATTCTCCTTCTCCTGAAAAGTTGGCAGGACATTAGCTCTGATCCTCAAGAAGAATTCTTATATTTTAGCGATTATATTAATAATCTGTGACTCTAACAAAAGGAGTGCATGTCTAAATTGATCAACCTAGTTCAATAAATTCTCTTTTCCTTAGTTCTAGCACTATGGATATGCGCCAGGAATCAGAAATAGGAGCAGTGTATCTCATTCTATTTTCCAAGTGAATCCCATCCAACAATGCATAAATTGTAAGGGCTTGTTGCCAAACACTGTCAATTCTGTGCAGAGATCCACAAGCTCAATAAATTGAAAGCATGAAATGTGAACTCATGAATAATCCTTCCGTATTTTACACTTCCATAACCAGTCACTTATAATGACACTTTATATTCATATTTCGACAATGGATAAAGAAAAAAACAAAAGTTTATTCTGAAAATAACAAATGATCCTATATACCAAGTACTGTTCATCAAGACATAGTAGAACAGATCTTACAATGCTTGGGGACAATAAATAACAAAACTCCTACTTATTATCCCCCTACCCGTAGATTACTCTATGAAAGATGAAGAGTTTAAATTAGAAATATAAACCACATATGACTCTTCGTATGGTTGGAAGAAGGCTGAAAGAGAAAACATTTTAACATGTGGGCTAAATGTCAAGATGTCAAAATCATCTTTACAAAATGGGAATAATTCCAAGTTGTGATAATTTGACCTATTTAATAATTACATATGTTGTAAGTAATGTACTAAATGTATATGTCGATATAGATGCAATAGGGATTTAGAAAAAGCAATTGGATTCTTTGTCTCTATCAGCTAAAATTTATTTACATTTTTATAGAGCCAACCTTTTAGAATATCAGACAATTACCTCCACATGATTTCATCACTTGCAAAAAAAAGAGACAGACACTAAAGTCTACACAGCAGATGACAACTTTAGGAAATGAAACAATTCACTATTAAGCAAGCACACCATTTAATAATGCTCTCCTTTCTGATTGCTGAATTGGGAGAACAGGTTCCATTAAAACATGGAAATACTTACTGGGGATATTCTAAGAGTTAGTGACATGAAAACCATTTTGCTGAGCCTAAAGCAAAAGCAAACCAGATTCACACTATTCTTCAGATATTAGAGATAACACAGACTATAGGATTCTTTGAAGGCTAGCATGCATTATCTGTGTTTCAGTTACTGATTTATCACAAGTCCTGAGAACAATATCTAGCATACAGTAATCTCCTACTAAATATTTGTTAAATTAAATAGTTAGAATTCTTAAATATGGAAATTGTAGCACATTTCTTCCCTGTGTTCTATAATTTTAGTGACTGTTATCATTCTCAAGAAGAAAAAATAAAAGTACAAAACATCCACCTACTAAAGTTTGCAAGGATTTTCTACCATACATTTGCCAATCTGGACATCTGGGTCTATCTCATCCTGGAAGAAACTGTGAACCAGGAACCCACATTGGAGCCCACCCTGGTGTGTCTCATAATCCAGAGTACCTCAGATTGAGGTCTTATTTGGAAATAGTCACTGCATATGTAATTTGTTGGGATAAGATCAAATCAGATTAGCTGGGGGTACCTTATCCAATGTGACCTAAATCCTAAGGAGGAAATCTGCACACAGATAAGCATCCAGGGAAAATGCTATGTGAGGAAGGGAAAAATTTAGGATGATGCTCATCTCATATAAACTAGGGAACGCCTAGGAAGAACCAGAAGCTATGGCAAAGCCTGAAACAGATCTCACAGCCCTCAGACGGAACTAATGTTGCTGACATCTTGATCTTGCACTTCTAGTTTCTGGAACTGTGAGATAATAAATTTCTGTCGCTCAATCTGTCATGTTTTGTGGCTCCTCTTTGCCAATGAATACAACTACCTACTGACTCCTCACAAAGGATCTGATTTCCTCCCAGAGACACGAGCATGGCAACGACCTCACTCCCACTGAGCACCGTCTGTTTGAGTTCACAAAAGTGCCTCCAATTTATTTTAAAGTTTCTACAATTATAGGTTGTCAATATCTGACACATTCTTCCATTATATTATGTAGCAATTACACCTGACACCAATTCCCTTACCTTCTGCTTGTTCCTGGGCTTGGGGCAGCATTGTAACCAGGAGGTGGTGGCGGAAACCAGGACTGTCTGTTAAGAAATGACTTTAGTTATAAATGTGGCACTTTAAAGGCTTGACTCCAACCATATATTTGCCAAATAAAACTGAAAATAATTTGATGGCTAAGAATGCAATGACTTCTTTACATAACTTCAAAAATAAAATGCAGGGGTCTGGAGCAATAGCACCACAGGTAGGACTTTTGCCTGGCCAACCTGGATTTGATTCCCAGCATCCCATATGGTCCTTCAAGTACCACCAGAAGTAATTCCAGAGTGTATGAGCCAGGAGTATACTACCCTATGCATCGCTGGGTGTGACCCAAAAAGCAAAATAATAACAATAAACAAATAAATAAAAATGCGAATCATTTAATACATGCAATAGAAAGTATCTATCCTGCATTTCAGGCTATTTCATTTCCCCAGGTAAACGCGCATAGTCCATTTCCTGTGATACTAAATAATGTGAATTTTAATTTTTGTTATTTATCTCAAATTTTATTTTATGAGAGCACCATGATTTATAAATTTATTCATAGTTGGGTTTTTGACAGACAATGTTTCATCCCCATTCCTGACACCAGTTTTATCTTCCCTCCACCAGTGTTCCCAGGTTCCCTCTCTTACCCCCACCCTTGCCCCAGCCTGCCCTCTCCACTGACACCATTATAAGTTTGTCTATTAAATTTGGATCTCAGGATTTCAGCGTTATTGACTCTGTGGTTTAGACATTTGGCTATAACATTCCTTAACACCACCAATGTACCTTGATCCTTGTCCCCTTGGCTTCCTATCTGTCCCTTCTTCATCTACCTTCACTCATTGTCCTTCCTCCTCTTCCCTATGCTTTGAGGGTGATCTAGAAATCCCCTCCTTAAACCACTGTATTTTCTCATAATAACGTAAATTTAAAAAATAATTTGGAGTAAATCTCACAAAATCTGGAAAACAATATAATTTGTTAAATTTAGAGAGTAGGTTCATGAGATGTTACCACCATATTGCTTTCTCATCTTTTTCTGCAAGCCTGAAATAGTTTATAATGAAGAAACAGTCTTACATTTTACTCAAAACATGGACTAAGAACTATGTGACAGAAAAGTCTGACAAGAATATGGAAAGCATTAATGATTACCACAGCATTTCTAATCTCACCTGCATGTGCATATTGTAGATAAATACAAATAAAAAGAAATACTTCTTTACATTACTGGGGCATAATTTTAATCAACAAAATAACTAAATTCTCTGTCAAAAAGTCTAAGATAGGAACCTACTATGAAGTTTCTCAAAACAGATTGACAAAACCTAGGGAAGGAAAGACTGAGATAAGGAGAGTAAAAGAATTAGCCTTAATTTCCTAAAGCAGGCTTTTCTTCTGAGATACCATGGGGCTGAACTAAGATAAATAGGATATAAATTAAAGCAGATTATAACACACTGTAAGTAGTAGATGCTGTAAGTGGTAGATGAGAGCTCATCCTGTGTGCATTGTATACGTGATTCTTAGTGCTAGTTTCAATGGTCTTGAATGATGCTTAACCTGTAAGAGGGAAGAATGAACAAAATCCTAGACTTCCCCAATTTAGGAGTCTCTCTCTAACAGATAAAGGATTAAGGTAGGATGGGATACAAAATTTGGGACCAAAGAAACATGATCACATTTTCTTAAATGCAACCACAATTCCAACAGTAGGAGAAAAAGAATCTGCCATTTCTCTCCCGGAGGGTAATGGCAGTACCATGCAGTTAATTGTTACAGCCATAGACCTTGAGTACCTACCTGTCCTAGATAAGATCCTAGACTGGTAAAGAAATAAAAAAAAATTAAGAAGCACTAAGCTTCATAAATGCCTTTCTTCAGTTACATCCTGATTCCCTAAATTTTTTTCAGCATGCAATAATTGCTTCTGCCATCACATTCTACCTCATGAAGAATTTTCTGCCTCCAGGTCTAGCTCCTCGCCCATGCCTACTAGATAAATAGAACTTAGATTCACACAGACAATGACTGAAATCTCCATATGGGTGCCTTGCTATTTGGAAGGAGAGTTAGATCAACCTACAGAATAGAGGAGGTGGCCAGAACGCAGGCTAGCTCAGGAACACTGCAACTGGTGGCCACACTGCAGACTTTCTTTCAGTGCAACACATTTCATGCAGTAAGACTCAACTCAACGGTGCGACTAAAAGTAGCTCACCTCTATTACCAGAGCTCTGTCATTGAAAACATTACCTAGATGAGTATTTCCCAAAGGGGAGAGATATATCTGTGGTGAGATGGGATACTGCTGAAATGATATATGGGGCAGCAGAAGACTTTAGTGCAATTTGAAGATGCAATTTCTTACTCATCTAAAGAAGGTCGATTTCTGGGGAGATATTACATAATTTTTTTCCTGGAAAGGCTGAATAAATCTGGAACCTCTGAGTAAAAATCATAGATTTGGAAAGGAAACTGTGGAGAGAAGGACATGTAAAGTTTGACGATATCTGACTCTAGTAGGTGCTAGATCCCTAAGAGACAAATCCAATGAGTCCCTCCTACCTCTTTTTCTTTACAGGAGTTGTTGTAGAGGTAGAAGCTGGGATTGTGGTGGTGACTTCACTGAATGAAACTCCAGGTTGCCTGTGTAATCACAACAATAACAATATCGCATTACTGGGTGTTTTTCAATCTGTCCCAACTTCGAAATGTCTTATGATTGACTCATCTTCCTACCAGTTCTCTATTCAATACAAAATGTTTCATTTGAAGAAAATAGGATGTTCTTCCTTAGTTTCCCATTTTATAAAAATGAAACCAGGCTTGCATCTAAATAGCTAAAACAAAAGTATTTTTCTTCATTTAAAATTTTTTATTTCCCTCTTTCTTTTTGTCTGCTATTGCTGTTGCACTAACTGGCAGCATGATGGGGGGAGCGGGGTTGTGGGGGTGGGGTGGGAGATGGTGTTGTGTGAGGCCTGGGGGGGCTGGGGGGTGGAGTTCAGGTGTGGGTGGGAGTGGTGAGTTGTTACACTTGCACACTGCAGTTGTGGTGCTCACACACACACTTGGTTACAGTGTAACTATATTCCTGGAACATAAACTGAAACTATTAAAGAAAATAAAAAAGTGTCTGTGAAATCCAAATCAATCAATAATTAAATCTGACATTTTATGAGCTGATATAGATAATATCTATACATAGTGGACAACAGAATTATGTGGCCATTTTTGTGCATTAAAATATTAGCTTAGGGAGACATTACAAAAATCATACCACTTTAAAGTTCTATTTAGCATTTATCAATATACACAAACCTTCAAAAAATTTAAAACGACCCAAGCCAATTTCAAATACTGAGAGATGCAGTCAATGTAAAAATTAATTTGTAAGTGCAAAGATAAAAATTAAATTTTCAAAAGTCAACCTTGTTTATGACATTCCAGGAAAATATATTTTGTTTAAACAGGTTGTTAGCAAATCCATGATTTTAACATTCATTTTAGTTGTAATGTGCTAGGTGTTTTGAGAGGCAAGTGAGATATAGGACAGAGGAGTCAGCTGCTACAGGAATAAGGACAAATAAAATAAGCTTTTTGGGGGGAAAATTAAATAATCTTGATTTTTTAAAAAAATGGAATGATTTAAACTTCAATGCTTGGTTATAGCAGATGTTGGCAAACATTTTCTGTTGAAATCTGATATTAAACATTAAGAATTTTGCAACTCGCATCAATATTTCTACCACTTGGTTAAACTGATAGTTGGTACTACCATGAAGCAGTATAACGAATCCCCGACATTCTTGAAAAATAGCAAAGAAATTCCCTTTATCCTAAGTGTATCTTCAGTTAGAAAAATACATACGTTTTTGTTGTTTCTGGTGATCTAAATGTAGACAAGCTTCTGTTAAAAGAAAAAAAAATCAAAAGTCTGAGCAGCAAGAAAAATTAACACTTATTTCTATTTGCAATTGCTTTATGAATTTAGAGCTATATTAATAGAAGTTAGATATTATTTAAAAGAATGAAAATGAGAGTAGAAATACTTATATAAATATAATAGTGTTTTCATAATCTTGTTTTACTCCTGTAGTAAATTCCAAAAGACTATCCATCAGAAATTTCAGAATCACTTAAACCCAATGTTTCAAATTGTCAGGTTCTGTAATTTTTGTTTGCAATAAGAATGCAAAATTTGTATGTATTTCACAATCTTGCCACCAAGATAACTTAAACAGAAACAAAGGTGGTGATAATGATGGTCAGGAAGCAATGAATTTTTTTATTTTTAATTCAGGCAACAAGATTTTATTATTTTCTGTCCTTGAAACTGAATTGAAATTTTTACCCCATAATTTTTCAGTTAATCAAAAATAGAGGAAAAGAATTCAAGGAAATATATCAAGTGGGACTGATTATAAGTAAATAAGTAATGATTAGAAGAATACCATACTTAAGCCTTTCCAAAAGTTAGTAGATATTGGTACCTATTAGTTAGTCGGTTATCCAAGGTATTGGCCTTATATGTTTTAACAGCATCATTTCTGTCTGAGATCCTTTATAAAGAAATAAGACAAAAGTTTGGATGAACAGTGAGATTATTAAACTCCATTTGGTCCTCTTTCATTACAGAATAAATTTAAAATGTAACTTTTGTCTAGAAAAGAGTACTGTTACAAGTATCACATTTTAGGAATTTTTATAATTTAAAAAACTTATAATAAATATATTTATGAGGATACTTTGATATAGTTCAAAATTTTTATTTTGATCTTTTGTTTCCTTATAAATATGCTCCATTGATAATTAATTGTCATATAACATATTAGTTTCAGTAGTACAACATGATTATCTGTGGACTTTGCAAAATGATCACAATAAATTTATTTAACATCAGGCTTTTTAACAATTTTATGCCTTTTTATTAGTGTTGATAACTCATTGAGCACTTAACAGATACATTATTTTCTATTTTTACAGTTTAATAATATATACCTAGCCAATGGTGCTATGTCCTGAATCAGTAAAAGGCATCAACTGAAAACTAAGTCATTTTAATGTTTTATGGCATAAACAATGCTGTTTATAAGATTAATTTCATTTCCCTCAGAGCACCTAGAAGATCACACTTCTCCATTTTCATTGCAGTTGAATGGGGACCATGTGACTGAGATTTTAGGTAATGCCATTTGTCATTTGTCTTGTGAGTTCCTCCATACCCTTTCCTCCCCTTCCATTATGGACCATGGGTTGAAGATCACATGAAACATGAAGCACTGAAACATGAGAAAATAATTCAGGTCCCTGAATCACTTCATGGAGGGGAACATCAGAGTTTCATTGGGACAAACAGCAATCTTCTATTTGTGCTAAACCATGGAGATTTGGGATGAGAACAGAAACATGTTAAGTAAGACAATTCTTGACTCTGACAAGTTATTTTACTTTTGGCTAATACATTTATTTTAGCAAGGTTTATTGGCTACAGAGGTTTTAGTCCTCCTCATCTCACGTCTCCTTGAGAAGAGTAGATCTGGAAAAGTATGCTGGTCTAGCCTTGGATCTGGAAACATAAACGGGAAATTCTGTAGTCTCCTTGCTAATTGCCACAGCAGTAGGAAATAGTTCATCTCCACAGTCTTTACAGTGGGGTCCAATGCCATACATCAATCAGTACTATAATTTGGCCCAACACTTCTATGTTATATCAAAATGCCTTCCTCTTTGTTTTTTATGCAGAAAGTAGTTAATTTTATCTGCCTTTAAAAATATTCCTAAAGTTGGGGGTGTGGTGCCGCCAGCAGGTCAATCTGTACCCATGAGACAAGTGCATCAGCAGCCTGATGATGACTTCAGACTTTCAGATACCCCAAAATTGCTGCTGTGCCTTTGGCCAGACCCCAAAAACTTGGGGCAAAGTTTACCAAGAAAGTAAACGGCCAAAAGTTATGTGGGAGACACTCCCACAAACCACCTCTGGCTCAGCTATATAACTGGAGGCATGGACTCTCTGGTTCCTGATTGAACTGCTTAACGGCCATGACCCAGAGACTCAGTAATAAATCTCGAAACCCAACAGCTTTTGGCAGAAATGTGTCTGGTCCCTGAAGTAGGCTACCAGTGTTGGACCACCCCAGGTGGAAATAGGCTTCTTGCCTTGGCTGTTCCTCCTGGTGGCCTGGTGGCCGTCATCCTCCAGAGGCCACTGGACAGTCAGGTTTGGGCCCACAGTGACGAGACACATGGGGCCTCACGGGATGGGGGTGAAGCCGGCCCTTTCCTCCCCACCCTAACGAGACCACAAGTCGCTACCCATGAACGGCCTCTCTGTCTCCTGATCAAGCTACTTAATAGCCACGATCCCAAAGACTCAGGAACAAATCTCGAAACCCAATGGCTTTTGGCAGAAATGCGTCCAGTCCCTGCACTAGGTTACAGGTGCTGGGCTACCCCAGGTGGGAATAGGTTTTGTGCCTTGGCCTTTTCCTCCTGGTGGCCCAGTGGCTGCCATCCTCCAGAGACCAGTCACGTTTAGGCTCTCAGTGACGAGACACATGGGGCCTCATGGGATGGTGGTGGAGCCAGCCTTGTCCTCCCCATCCCAACGAGACTCCGAATCACTGCCCAAAAACAGCCTCTCTGGCTCCTCATCAAGCTGCTTAATGGCCATGGTCCCAGAGTCTCAGAAATAAATCTTAAAACCCAGCGGTTTTTGGCAGAAATGCGTCCGGACCCCTCAGTAGGTTACTGTTGTCAGGCCACCCCGGGGGGGAAAGGGTGCTGTCCTTCCACCTGCTCCCCCTTGGCGGCTTGGCTGCTGCCATCCGCTAGAGGCCATTGGACAGTCAGGTTTGGGCCCGCAGTGATGAGACACGCAGGGCCTCATGGTATAGGGGTGGAGCAGGCCCTTTCCTCCCCACTCCAACAAGACCGGAGTTGCCGCCCACAAATGGCCTCTCTGGCTCCTGATCAAGCTGCTTAATGGCCATGATCCCAGAGACTCAGGAACAAATCCCAAAATCCAGCAGGTTTTGGCAAGAAAGCCCTCCAGATTTAATTGTTGAAATTTCAGAATTTCAAAATTGCACGGCCACTACTGCAGCCACGTGACATCATATTTTATTCATAACAAGCAATAGAAAACAAATTGTCTACTGTTGCTTTTTGGGCAGATCTGAGTGTTGGGGTAAAATCCCAAATAATAATGGTGGGTCTGGTGTCGAAATGTTGAATGTAATCAAAGTATAGAGAGAGTAATTTGAAAATCATCTGCCCCATAGGTAGAGGGAGGGTGTGGGTTGGGGGTATACTGGGGATTTTGGTGGTGGATAATGGGCACTGGTGAAGGTACGGGTGTTTCATTGTGTGACTGAGACTTAGACCCGAAAGCTTTGTAACTGCTCTCACGGTGATTCAATAAATAAAATTATAAAAAACGGGGGGAAAAAAGTAAGGTGGAGTTCATGCACAATTCAATCAGCCTAATCAGTGGCTGAATAAATAGCAGTACTCCTACGTTAAAAAAAATATTCCTAAAGTTGGGGCCAGAGTGATAGCACAGCGGGTAGGGCATTTGCCTTGCACGTGGACGACTGGGTTGGATCCCCGGCATCTCATTTGATCCACTAAGCACTGCCAGGAGTGATTACTGAGTGCAAATCCAGGAATAACCCCTGAGCATCACGGGGTGTGACCCAACAAGCAAAAAAAAAATTCCTAAAGTAACATTAAATGATAACATAAATTTATAAGCATGAACATATATGCTTATATAAAGTGATATTATGTGTATATCATTAATAATCAAGTATATACTGCATCTAAGCTTATCATTAAAGGTCCAATTCTATCCTTCCTACAACTGTCCCCTTTTCCCTCACCTCCTAACTCTTCCATGCCACTGGGGGGGTTCAGCCTATGAAAAGTTAATGAAGAAATGTTACTACTCAAATAGAAATAACCATTCCTTATTCCTTAGGGAGATGAACTTGCATTTCTCCTGTAAATTTAGCTTCTTCCAACTTGCAATAGAAAATTGGGTGTTTTAACAGAAGTCAATGTTGGAGACAGGAAATAATCAAAGTAACTAGGAGCATGATCAAAAGAACTAAAAGGATATTACATACTTCCAAAATGGTACACTAGAGGTCTCCCTAAGCTAGGTTTACCAAGCCAGTTGTTTAAAAAAAAAAAAGTCTTTGAGATTTGAGCTATTATCTCCATAATTCATGCACTATTATTTACTTGTTTTTTAGGAAGCCTCACACTTTTATCTAAAAATATACATCCTTAAGAGGGATTATTAGAACCAAATTTAGTACTTTTATTGTATTTCTTCCAAATAAATCTACTGTTAAAAAAGTACATGCACATACCAGATGTTATTATCAGCTTCCTCTTAAATTTTTTCCACATCTGGCATTTGGACCTGCCTTACAAAAGTCTGTTTCTTAATCACTGGAATCACTTTCTTGAATGATCTTTTTTGCTCACTTCCGCACATCTAATTCCATACTTAGAGAAATGTAGCTTATTGTAAAGAGGCAGGACTGCATGAAGCATGAGCTGACCAGGGTACTCTCACAAACATACCACCAAACGCCATCACTACCTAGTGTGTTAAATGAAGAGTTTGGGCTGGACTGATGGGTCTGAATTTTGTCTGTACCACTTTATAAGCTTTAAATAGGCCAGTGATACAGCACATGTCTTGCATGTGTGAGGCCCTCAGTTCAATACCCAGCACCAGAGAAAATAAATAACATTTATAAGTTTTACATAATGTATGAGTTCACCTCAGGGGAACTAAATTATAATCTGAGGTGTGAAGGAAGGTGGAGCAAGGCATCAGTGAAGTTTAAAAGTTCTCTCACTCTCTGATTCTAATTTACACTCAAGGCAGATATGACATTGCTATGCCTGTGAGGTTGCTCTAATCCATTATCAGGGTTTCCGGGCTTCATCTTGACAGGCCTTACATAAGCGTTCAGATATTCAATCTATAAAAGTTTAGTTTCCTAGGCCTCTTGCCATTCTTTGAAGTTTAGAGATTTCACTGGAAAATTTATTTCTAGAAATTAGGTTTTCTTCTGCAGTTGATGGCACACTTAGGTCAGTCTACAAAGCCAGGATAAATGGACAGGGGCACTTTGGATCCTCACTTCACACAGAGCCATGTAGATGGCACCTTATACATATTCTCTTATATTTCTCGTTTTTGTCAATACTTATAATTACAAGAGGGGGACAGTTCCTGAGAGAAACCAGTGCTATTTTTTCCTTCAATACAGATTGACTGTAAACCTATGAATAATGCAGACAGATAGACTGATATCCTATTAATTTGTGATGGCACAGTATGAATGTGTGGAATTCAATACATGCATCATATGTTTCAATCTATCTGTTTAAAACTGGGCCAGTGATTTTGCTTTAATACCCATACATATTTTGTTACAGAGAGCGAACTCAACTATTAATGGTCAGATATCTATTGTGTCCAGGTAAAATATGGATGTTAACTTCGCTCAATAAAAATGTTTACCTTCTCACATAAAATGAAAATGTGATTTGTGTTGTTTTCACTTCAACTTAAAGAGGTATTTCTCAGTTTTCCTACAGTGAGGAAACCTTTACTTCTGTGCAAGGGAGAATTAACAGGCACAACATAATAGGCTATTTTATAAACTCTATGGTGACTCCAGAGCCCAAAGAATAGTTTCACTTTTTATAGTAAAGAGCTACTGTCTTTATGGTAGAGCAGTCGAAAACCACTGCATTATTCAAAGTTGTAGTCCTTTCATAAAGCAGTTTTGCCGACACTGCACAGTTTTGTAGACACTGCTCTTTCTCCTACATCAGAATGGAAAGAGCAAAAGTCAAAACAAGGACTCGCTAGTCACAAAAATAACTATGTTCTGCATTTGGGGGATGGGGGTGGCATTTGGGCTACACAAAGCAGTGCTAGGGGCCTATTCCTAGTTCTCTGTTCGGGAGTAAGCCCTGTGTTACTTGGGAGGCATATATGATACTAGGGATCAAACCAGGGTTGGCTGCATGCAAGCCAAGTGCCTTACTCCCAAATTATCCATTGTCTGCCTCGCAATTTCTTCATCTTAAATTGAGCAGTTTCCATACAGTGCTAACCCTATCTAAAACTAATTCTTTCAGAGTTTTTCATATCAATATACCAGGATTTTAGGGAAATAGTTTAACCAAAGTTTTGTGAGCTTTGTCAGAGAGAGTTTACTCCTTGTAGCCCGTCTGTCCCTGGGGATTAAAAGAAAATGATTCAAAGGTATATTTTATGTGTTTAAGTATCTCATGCTTTATAAGAAGTAGAAATTAATATATGTTATTCATTCTGATTACATGATTCAAAAGGACCATACCTATCCAAAGTGTCATCCGATCTGTAACGACTAATTGTGGCTTTTGGTTCCTCTCCATCATTTTTTTTCCTATAGCATAAAAAAATACAGAAAGGTTAAATAAATTACAGAAATATTTAGAAAACCTATAATACACTTGGCAAGTGCTTTTCCTTCTTTGTTTGTAAATGTTACAAACAAAAGGTAGACTTGGAAAATTCAAAACTTCCAAGGTCATGACTTAGAAAAATTCATTCTAGAAAACCCAATTATCCATGTAAATAAATAAAATATTTTCTGACATCAATTATTTTCAACTACACTGTGACATATTGAAACAGGAGCTATAAATATGTGAAATACAACCCTCGAAGAACCCTCCAGAGAACTCATAGTTAATATGCAATTTTGTCCATGTTGCTGTATTTTGCATAGTAAAAACTCAATCACTCATAATCAGAAATGGGATATTTGTGAAGTTTTTAGCAGTACACAAACCAACTCAACAGGTTGAATACAAATCGCTTTCTTTGAAGCTCAGCACTGTGGACGAAGATAATTTTCTGATTGAAGAAAGGATGGGAGAGAACAAAAGCTGATAGAGGGAAACAGAAAATGCTGAAAAAAATACAAAGAAGAAAGTGGGAGAACAAAGAAGGGATAGATGTGGGAAGAGAAGGACTGAGATTACGCAGTAGGGAGATAGAGGCAAAGAATTGAGAAGAGAGATAACTGTATCACTGTCATCCCATTGTTCCTCGATCTACTTGAGCAGGCGCCAATAATGTCTCTATTCTTTCTAGCCCTGAGAGTTTAGCAGCATCTCCTTACTCATCTTTCACAATGATTGGAGGCTATTTTAGTTACTGGTTTATAGTTACTGGTTTTGGCATATCAAATATGCCACGGGGAGCTTGCAAGGCCCTGCCTGTGCTGGCAGAATACTCTCAGTAGCTTGCTGGGCTCTTTATTTTTTTTTTCTTTATGATTTGTTGCCTACTATCTGAACTCCATCAAACATGATGTGGCAATTATGGAAAATGGGTAGGAAGTGTCTTATGATGTGTTCCGGAAAGCAGTTTGGAGAGTGGTGAAGGTTGGGTAGTGAAGGTTGGCTGCCAGGGCTGGGTCCCTTGGGGCGGGGAGGACTCTCGCCCAACTCTCTCTGGGACACCCCGAGTGAAAACAGCCTGGCACAGAGTCCGGTGGCATGGTTATGGGGGCCTCCTTTTATACTCCCATCTGGGAGGGGTAGCTGTGAGTTCTGGAGGGTGGTTGATAAGAAGATTATCTGTTGTGGCAGGGTGTGGCTTATGGGTGTGATCCCTGGGTCCCCGGAGAAAGGGGGAAGCAGGCAGAGGATCTCTGCTCCTGGGTCTCCTTGAGTCCAGAAGAGAGATAAGCAGAAAAAAAATGAAAGGGAAGAAATCAAGAAAATAATGGAAGAGTTCTGAGGAGGCCCAATATTAACAAATCATGGTCATCAAGCAGAGGATATAATGTGACAGGGTTAATTAATGAGGTAGAAAACCTGCAATGCTTTATATAATCTGAGTTATAGGGAAATAAAGCTCTTTAGGGAATCATAATATAATGGTCTGAATTTTAAAACAACATATGAATTTGACAGACCATTTTTTATCAGTAAAAAATAAACCAGCATGCATAAGATTTAAATTTTAACTAGATGGTGTTTTTTTTTTAATTAATTACTTGACGACAAAAAACTACTCTGCTCATGATGCAGGAAATCAAGAGTGTATTAACCATGGATGCTTCTCACAGCACTCAACAATACATACAAAAGTAGAAAGTGACCAGTGCAGTCAAAGAGATTACGGTGAAGAATAGGGAAATTCTAAATTTTACAGGTGTCAGAATAAAAGAAGGCTTTGTGGAGGGAGAAGTTTGAGCTGGATCTTAGGGAACAAACAGTGAACGTTTTTTATAGATAGAAGGAGTACGGACAAGCTAAGGCAAGAAAAAGGTAAAGGAAAACATTCCCCGAGCTTTGAAAGAAACAGTGAAATCATAAGGTTCCCGATCCTATAGGATTGTGAATGCGAATAAGCACTGTGAGTCACCTAACCCCTGCCACAAAATAGTTTCTTCCCAGAAATCATTGTTTTACAGCTTTCCTGAATTCACTGGTTTTATTCTTCTGAGTAATAATGGCAATACATAATTGTGTTCATTTATTTTCAGCCTCTCCCACCTCTAATTTCCTCCAGGAAGCAGGTTCTCTGGAGGCAGGGATGGGGTTTTGTTTCCAGTTCTTAGGCCAGTGTGTGGTTCACAGTAAGCATCTCCTCAGGTACTATTTGTGCTAGCAGCATTATGTACCACGTTTAAGTGAGCCACCAGAGAAGATGCACATTTAATTTCAGTCTCTGCTCACAGAAAACTCATTGCACACACTATTACCATTGTTGAAAGCACTTCTTTCCCTGCCTGTTCCCACCTGAAAACCTTTCGCGTTCCTCCTTCTAGCAGCACCAGCACCACAAAACACCAGGTTCTAGGTGAGACTTCTAAGTGATTCAGGCAGCTTTGGTGTTTTCGTTCTCTCTATTCCTAGAGAATTCTCACCCCACTCTGTTGTAGCACTTTCCATGGCAAATTTCATCATATTTATTGATGGATCCATCTTTTTCCATGAATGAGAGAGCTCCTTAAGGTCAAGGGTGGTGTTTTATACCCCTCTGTATTCTCAACACCTTGCTCAATGTCAGCACATAGCAGAGACTTAAAAGTGATGGTGAAGGGGCACAAAAGTGGGGAAAAGCCCTGGAAAGGGCAGAAAAGAGCCAAGTGGACATCCATTTGAGCAAGCACAAATAATCCACACTACCTCTTCAGGATGATATATTCTGAGATACTAGTTACAAGTGTCTTGGGACAAGTGTCTTCTTGGGCTTACTAGTTTGTGTTACCAAAGCTAAAAATTCAATGTGATGATTAAACCAATGCACTGTCTTATAGGAAATGTCTATGAAACAAACTTAGTTCAAAATGTAAAATAGACATTAAAGACATTAAACTCCTTTTATTCTAAAACACATTCAGAATGTGAATCTTAGTATTCCCTTTTACTCTTCAAACCAAGTATATCTGTTTTTTAATAATTCCAGAAAAAGCCATTAAAACAAAGAGATTGATTTCTATTGGTGGCTAGAGCATCCCTATGATTGGAGAGATGAGCAAGTTGAGGAAAGGTTGTAATCGTCAAAATCATGAAAGCCAATGAGTCTGCTAAATTACAAAATAAACAGCTAATTGAATGAGTTAAAATTGAAACCCAGAAAACTAATGAGAGACCGTGGCAGACAGGGCTTTAAGACACTTAGAACAGGTTATATAGGAGTTAGCAAAATGAAATCCAAAGCTGAAAGTCTTTAAAATAAACATGATCAAGGTGTTGGTTTAACTTTTTTAAAAGTATGCATCATGAAAGAAAATTGCACTCCTTTATTAAGTACCTCTGGGTGACAGATATAGGCAAATGGGCCAGATAAAACATGTCTGATACATAATTAACTTCTTCTGATGGGTGTGGTTGTTTGTATGTGTGTGAGTATGAATCTGTTCCAATAATAATATTATCTATTTATTTGATCATCCAGATTATTTACATCAGTGTGATTACTAGTCTTGTCTGCATTTTCCTACTAATTTGCTTTTGTGTATTTATTACTGAATATCCTTTATAATTTAATGTTCTTCCATATGCATACCTAGGAGTTTCTAAAAAGAAATATTTTTTATGCCCCATAAAGCATGTGACTTCCGGAGTTGTTTCTGTATTCTAGGGTACTTTTTTCTAAGGTTCAGAGATAACTTATCTATGTCTCTATGGCTGCCCATCTCTTTTCATTCAGAAGAACTACCATACCTCTTGGTGGGATTGTTACTCTACACCTCCGAGCTATAGTTCTGAAAGCATGCAGTTGGATAACCACAAAATTTGCCTTATGGAAACCCCTGATGCTATCACAGATTCTTCTTCATGTGCCTGGAACATCAGGGAAGGCCTGAGGCTAGCCACAGATATTTAGCCTGTCTTCAACAAGCCTTCTCTCAAAACTACTGTCTTTGTGTTTCTGCTAATGATGTAACTTGTCTGAAACACCCACCTGTCCAAGGCATCATGGGAATTATGTCGGCTGAGCACCACCCTACCATAATTTTCATCTCTGTGAAGAAAAAACAATAGCAAGTCACATACAAAGGTACCACAGAATTTGGTAAGCTTTGAACAAGGGAGACGGGGAATGTTTAGCTTTTAGCAAGATAAATTCATTTTACTTCAAGCATTTATAAAACTCAAGTAGGTATTTATTTTAATCTGTTACCAATTTAAAGAGCGTGGTGAAAAGAAATAAACTTATCCTTAAAATGAGTATTAGTCTGATTTATCCCATAAGATTTGCAAGTGATTAAACAATGGAATCACAAGTATTTCCATGTTTCTTGTTTCACCTTCATCAGGATATAGAAAAAACTGTTATCTATTTCTTATACATTAGAAGAATCCTTTTCTGCAGGAAGTCAGATGTTTTCTACATAAAAAAAGAATTGTTTCAGTCTGAAGAAGCCCAATATGTCTGAACATTCTGATTTCATAGACATGATACATTTCCTTTAAAAAATAGAAAAATTAATATTTGTGGTTAAGGAGGTTGATAATTCACCATCAATTTAACCCATTTAAGCATATGAGTTACATCTGTTTGTCCTTAAAATCATTCTATGTATTAAGCAAAAAGATATTCCAACATCCAATTCAGAGATGAGTAAATTAATCAGGGATTCTGTGACTTTCATAAAGCTAAAAAAGAAATAGAGTATACAGATTCTTTTATTCCAAATATTTACTCTTTTGGCCAAAGAGATAATACAGTGGGCAGAATTTTTGCCTTGTATGTTGCCAACTTGGGGTTCGATTTCCGGCACCCCATATGGTCCTCCAGAGCACCACCAGGAATGACCCCTGAGTGTAGAACAAGAGTAACCCCTGAGCATTACCAAGTGTGGTCTGAAAACATAACAAAATAAAAACCAAAACAAAAAAGCAAATATTTATTTTTTCCAACTGGTCAACCTTGCAATAAACCTTATTATATAAAATCCCCCAAGCTATCTCTTCCTTACTTTGTACTGCAGACCTGAATGTACAAGCAATTTTAAGGAAGTGTCAAAACTTGTAAGGAGCCTTTGGCTTTTAGCCAAGGCAGAGAGTGAGCACCTAAATCTTTTTCATGTCAATTCCACCAAACTTGTAATACCACATTTCTCTTGGTTCTGCTCCACTAACATTACTCAACACTCTGGAAGCATTTATAATAATATTATAAGAGAACTATAACGAAGAGTGAAACAAACAATTACAGCAAAAATACACCCTCAAAGATCCCAAGGGAATGTTTTAATCTCTTTGACATCTCTTTCCTAAATTTGACAGCAGGCACATTCTTACCCAAAAAGGAATCATGACACAATATCCCAAAACCGAGCCAGTGGGATTTGGAAAATTATCCCCACCAATTTCTACTTTATTCAGCAGCTGACATGCTGTACAAGCTGGCTTTCCTGGTTCTTTTAAAGTAGGCATATTTGTCATCAAATCATCACCCCTACCAACAGTAACCTGTCTTAGGCATCTCTATCATTACCTACTTGTGCAAACATTTGCAACCTAAATTTCTAACCTATACTTGACAACATGCTACCAATATAGAAAATAAGAGTGCTCTATTAGGCTCTAACAGAAGCAGTAAGCAATGCTTCATGAAGGGAACTGATTGACGGAATGTAACCCCAAAAGTTAGTGGAAGTCCCCAAATATCCATATTGTCCCTTAGACTATGCAAATTTAACATGCAAATTGTAGACTTAAGCAAGCTGTTCAAATAAGCATAAACAGATTGTTTTGTCAGGAGTTTAGAGTAGGTATCTAATAATACAGGATTTAGCAACTTCGGACTACTGAGATGTTGAGTTTGATCATTTTTTGTTGTGAAGTATTCTGTGCATTGTAAAACATTTAGCAGTATACCTAGCCATAAACCACTTTATGGCAGGATTATTCCCAGGTTTTGACAACTAGACAAGTTTCCAACTTTGCCTGGAAAATTGCTATTGATTGAGAACCACTGTTTTCTTGTAAAGACTAATGAACAGGTCTGGTTAAAATCTCTATTCCACGATTGAACATGTGTATCATTGGGTATTTACTTAACTTCTCTGAGTCTGAGAATTCTCTTTTGTGACAAGATTACAGTACACCTATTATGTGTGATATTTGTGGGATATAGTGACACTTCATCTGTATAGAGGTTTTATATTTATTAAATACCTAGTGTATCTAGCCTGATTCAAGAGGCAATACATGCATACATACATTTTAATATATACGTAATGTATATATGTGTGTTGGACTGGAAAAATGTATTTTATGTTGTTTTCTTGAGGAGAATTGTACACCTGGAGGTGTTCAGGGATTATTCTTGGCTCTGTATTCAGGGATCTCTCTTGATACTGCTTGGAGTACCATACATTGGGCCAAGCATCAAATTGGGCTCAGCAAGCATCTTACCTCCTGAACGATTCCTCTGGCCCCAACAAATGTATTTTATAAATATGTTAATAATATGGTTATGTGCTCGTGGTCACAGTTCACAGTTGCCAGATCTTTAAACATAAAGCTAGAAAAAGTCATGGTGAAAGAAGAGAAAACTATCTTAACAGTTTTTTATTACATCACTTATAACACCCTTCCAATACTTCAAGGACTATGGCTGGCTTAAATTAAAATGAGCTAAACATCCATTTCACTTGTGCATAGGAAGCTTTAGATTATTATTAAATTAGTAAATTTGGTGTTATATTATCATATCTATATCTCAACTGACATGGTCAACATGCATCAGGCACCTCCCTATTGTGGGCTAAATAATTCCTGTTTTGAAATTGAAAAGTCATTTTGCTTTGAATTTCTCAAGTATACACAAATGTCTCTTCTAGTTAGAACTATGAATCCATGCTTTTTCTCACTACGACTAAGTGATGCTGCTAAAAAGTGTGCATTTCAAATAAAATGTGTGCATAACAAATGTGTGCTTATTAAATCTTACCAAAAGTTAAGGCATGCCACGAAATATTTTCAGAACAGTGTGTTACATTTTCAGAGAGATATTAGCTTCCCGGAGAGTAACTCACTCAACTCATCCACCCACTCAACTTCTTTCTACCACCTTACCTTTCTTCTTCAGGATGCTTCTTTATCCAGCTGTTGTCCTGTAAGAAAGCCCTTCTTTTGCTCAAATCATGAAAGCCCTGTCGCCTTGTTGTGGTCCCCTGAATGGCACTCTTCATTTCTATCAACAGAAAAGCGAAAATTTGAGAGATATGATTGCATGGAGTCAGTCAAGTGTGGGTTTGGTAACCAGGAAATCTTGAGAGACACGTTTGATTGGCCAGCATCAGTTTTCTAGGCTGGCAAGTTAGTACTGTTTCAAAGGAGGATATGCTGGCAAGAAAGAACAAATCCCACACCCCATCATCAAAGATAACATATAAAACTTCTCAGATGCCAACTGAAACTCCCAGAGCAGTGCATGAGGCCCTGTCTGGCAGCAAAGACCTGGGTTAAACCAAGTCAGGGTTTAGTGGGCCAGCTATTTTACTGGAAGTGTAAAACTGTTTTTAGACTACCTAGCAGATAGTAGTAAATTCTGATTATTTCAAATGCAAATAAATGATTTCATCTCACAAGATCCACAGTCATAAGAGTTCAAAGATAAAAACAGAAATTTTAACAGACTGGAAACAAATCTCAGTTTCAATCATGTGAGTAAAAGCTATATACCACTTACATTTTTCTTAAGCCTAACTTTAACCATGGTAATTAGATAGTTGCATCTAAGCACTCAGTACCTATATAAAGGAAGTAAGATCGACAAATTGTTTTCCTCAGATTTTTAAGTTTTATGAGTAAGGCAAACACCACTTCATTACCGTTTCCTGTAGTAGGTGGCTTTCTCGTGGTAAAATTGGGCATGCTATCTCCCAGCAAGGATCTAGTAATGGGAAAAACACAATAATGATGCTAAGATTCTGTAAATGACTTTTATTATTAGCAAGATACATTTTTAATTCTTTGACAAAGTGACATGATCTAGCAGAACAACTACATAACATAAAGTACCACTGAGAACCTGAGAATTTCTTGCTGCAGTGCATTTATTTTACAGGTATACACCCAGAGCGTTCCGACCCCAATGTTACATAGCAAGCAATTAGCAGACCCAGGGCATCAATTAATTCACTTTAATCATTAAGTACATACAGAGCACATATATTATTTCCGGCACTGAGCAAGGAGCTAGAGATAAAAAGATGGGGAAGGCAAGCATATGGTTAGGTGACAAGGAAGACAGACTCAGAGATCTTTGTTCACCTTTGTGCAGAATGCCCTGAGGAAGACTCCTCAATTTTTTCTCTGGGGAAGCCAAAATTACCATAGGCCACTAGTGTATAATTAGAAGGGAGGCAGTCAAAGGAACAAAAATGGCAAGTTTGAGAGAATATTGGTGATTGGTTTCTTAGCTAAGAGCAGTCTCTACAGTTATATTATTTAGGGGTTAAGGTAAGCCTTAAATCCCAGTTTGCCTGAAACCAATTAGGCTCATAGGACTGCTCAGAACCTTGTGAGTTCTAAGCACTTTTGATTCCATAAGCCTCTTCTTACACAAACACACACACACAGAAGGAGAGAGAGAGGGAGAGAGAGAGAGAGAGAGAGAGAGAGAGAGAGAGAGAGAGAGAGAATGACATTTTATGATAGTATAAAGATGAGAATAATCGTCTCTCCATTATTTATAATTGTGTATTTGCCATATTTTATTTATCTTTATATCTCTATAAATAGTAAATAGCCTGATAAATAGTAAGTACTTGATAACTGAGCTGACATTTGTTTGGTTTTGTGTATCCTCACTTCCCTAATCCAGATTGTGCATGTGACTCTTTTGTCTCTCTAATCAAATTCCAGGTTTAGGTGAGAGCTAATTTCCAATAAACATTCTATATGTTCTATCTTAGGTTCAATAATGGATGCAATGATATAGATCTGAGGTGTCTACCCCCTAAAATAAAATACATCAACATTATACTTCGGTGTATATTTTATTTATCTAAAAATCATAGAGGATATATATATATATATATATATATATATATATATATATATCCTTCTTGGAGAGACCATCAAGCTACTGAGAGTATCCTGCCCACAGGGCATAGGCTTAAAAGCTCCCTGTGGCATATTTGATATGCCAAAAACAGTAACAATGACAGGTCTCATTCCCCTGGCCCTGAAAGAGCCTCCAATTGTTGGAAAGAAAAGTAAGGAGAGGCTGCTAAAATCTCAGGGGTGGGATGAATGGAGATATTACTCAGCTCAACCAAATCGATGACAGTGATATAGTGATTTTTTTATTACAAGAAATTAAGTTAGAACATTTATGGGTACCTACCTCAAGATATCCTGGGCCCTGAAGACTAACTTTTCTGCATAAAGAGCAAATCAGTCTTGGATTTCTATGAAAGTTAGACTTTTGGTTAAATTTTGTTCTACTTTATTTTTGAGAGATAGGGAAACACCTAGTAGTGTTCAGGGATTATTCCAAACTTGATGCTCAGGGGTCATTCTTGAAGATGTTTGGGGGCGCCTGGGATCAAACCGAGACTTCTGACATGCAAAGCATGTGTTCCAGCTTATTGAGGAGATGATCTCTCAAACTCCTCTTTTGTTTGGGGGGAATATTTTAATGGGGATAAGATTCCCATATAGTTTTCAGGAGGCCTGAGGCCACATAGGTAATGCTGAGGGGCACAATGTGGTGGCAAGGTCAAACCAGGCTCTATCACATGCCTTAAACTTCATGCTATCTCTCTCTCTGGCTCCCCTCTTTGGTTTTAAAACCAGAAGAATCTTGGGAAAATTTCTAAGGTGGGTCACCAGGGGTGAGCCACATTGATGAATCATAAGGGATGAGTTATATTACTTTTTACATCCAACCAGTGAATATAGGAGCATTAGTTCTCAATATTGGGAGCTAAGTTCAGGTTTATCATATCTGTAACTGCAACACTTGAATTTCTGATAAAAAAGGGAAAAACAAATAACATAACAAATAACAAATCTAACAATAGGACTGAAATCTACTTCACAAGGCTATTGTGATGAGTAAATGAACAAAAATCACTCTGTTAAGCTACAAATGTCATTTGAACTAAAGCAGTATTGGTGGATGGCTGTTTAGAACTAGAGGGATAGCTGTCTAACTAGAGGGTTCTAAACGTTCCCATCTCCCACACTCTGATGCAAAAATACCTCTCAATAATTGTAATAGGTCTGAGTGTGATAAAGATACATTTACTCGGATTGAGGCATGCTTTCCCTGGAGTCAGCTTTTCATTTCAGTACTCCAGACCAGGTCTCCTTCACTAGGCTGGTCTATGGCACTACCGATTCCCTGAGGAGGTACACTAGTGGGATTTCATTGTCACACACTTAGATAACACAACTATATAAACACAAAAACATACACCCACCCACACACACACACATCACAACTAGAACCAGTAGGGAGAGACAGACATCTTGGGTAAAAAGATTAGTCACAAGATAGAGTCAACTCAGCAAGTGATTTCAGTCCACCAGGAGATCAGTATAAACTAGACCAGTAGGAAACATCTTTTCTCAGCTCTCCCCCAGCCTACCTCACATTTCTATCTGGCTCCCCCTTCTTCCTTCTACTGAGATCAGACCCTCACTAAGTCACAAGCCCTCAAGTTCCTCTCCAGTACTGCTTCAGCACAACCCAACCTAAGACTAATGATCAGTCCCATCCTTCCTGACATTCTACCCCCGGACCAGGGGCTGTTGTTTCCACAAATCGACAAGAGTCTAAAGGTTTACGGGAAGATAAAAAGATCTATATTGGGGACCAGAGCATTAGTACAGCATGCAGAGAGCTTTTGCTTTGCATGTGACCAACCCAGGTTTGATCCTTGATATTCCATATGGTCCTCTAAGCACCATCAGGGGTGACCCCTGAGTGCAGAGTCAGGTAATCCCTGAGCATTTCTGGGTGTTCCTTCCTCCCTTCCCCAAATAATATCTATATTGAAATAATGTGATTTACTGACTGTGTTTTAGTTCAGCTCCCTCATGTAAATGAGGTAAAATAGGACTGCTCTGATGATCAAATAAAGTGACACATATAGAGTCCAATTATTGCCCAATATACAATATGTGCTCAATAATTCTTAACTTTAAAGCAAAGAGCAAAGAGAAGGGTGTGGTTGGGCGAGGAGAGGAAGTTGAACAGTTTTAAATGATGGCCTCAGGGAAGCCATGGCTGCTTGTTTTGGAAGATTGCTAAAACTCTGGTAGAAAGGGGTGGTAAAGAGCATCTTGAGGAAAATTTTAATTTGATTTGTTTTTCATTTTTTTGGAGGGATGCTCTCCAACCCAGAGCTTGGAGGGTCCCTCTTGGCAATGTTTCTCTTAGCTGTGCAGGCCTGATGGTTTAGTGCATGCAGAACAATGCCACGTTGCTCAGGTTGAAGACAGTGTCTCAGGGCATACAAGGCTTCAAGCCAACCCTCCAAGCCATCTCCTCAGCCCCTACATGTTCATTTTGTCTGAGTTTGGCCCTGGTTCTCTGATTTTTGCCTAACTTAATTCCTATTTCTAAATGGACTCTCATAAATTTGTTTCCTCTAATTTGGATAAGATCTGAGGCGTTTACAATGATTGATCAGGGAGTCTATAATGGTAAAAATACGGAATGCTATTTGGTGAAGTCACAAAGATTACAAACTATCACAAGACAAGGTGATATAACATGAAGAACTTTTACACTCATAATCTCATTGACGGCAAAGCCTGGCAAGCTACCCGTGAGGTATTCAATATGCCAAACATAGTAACAAGTCTCAAAAATGGAGACGTTACTGGGCCCGCTCGAGCAAACTGATGAACAATGGGAGGACTCTCATTGACTGCATGTGTCCTGCAATAAAAACCTAAATCTGGTACTCTTTCAGTGTTTGTTCAGAGCAAATTAGTATTCCTCCTTATCCAAATTCATTTAACAGAATTCAAACCCCCAGCACCTCAGAATGTGATTGTTTTTAGAGATAGGACCTTTAAAAAGGTGACTAAAATTTTGCTTGTTAGGGTGAATCCAAACTGATTAGTGACCTTATAAAAGGAGGAAATTTGGACACATAAGGGGAAAGGGGTATGAGGCCATGTGAGCACTCAAAGAGAAGGTGACCAACTATAAACCTAGTAAAAAGGTTATAGGGAAACTAAAGTTTAGACTTCTACTCTGTAACTGTCACTGTCACTGTCCTCCCGTTGTTCATCGATTTTCTCGAGCGGGCCCAGTAATGTCTCCATTGTGAGAAAACAAATTTCTGCAATGAGCCAGTGAATCACCAAACCTCTTGGTCAAAGATGGCAGTCGACCAATCTACATGGTATTTTGTTATGGTGGCCCTAACAGAATATTTATTTTAAAAAAGTCATTTAAGGGCTACAGAGATAGTATAGTGGGAACCCAGTTCATCCCCTAGTATCTCATCCCAAGTCCATTAAGAGTTATCCCTGAGCACAGAGCCCTGAAAATGGCCAGGTATGGCCCCAAAAACCAAAGGAATGGCTGTCGTTCTAATATAGTTGTCACTCAGAGAACTTTGGGGCATGCTGTCTTTAATTGTCCTACTGTGCTGCACAGGAAAATTGCTAGTCACATCAGTATCCTTCTGTTGAGCATTTGCATTCAATGGTGTGCCTCATGGGCATGATCTTTCATTTCTATGCAGATTCAGTAGTGAGGTAGCTACTTCTACTTCCATCTCCAAGCTGAGAAAACTGAGGTGCAGGGAAAGTATAAGACATATGAGTGATAAGAGATGGAATCTGACTTTGAAATCAAATGCAGATCTTTCCTCAGCAACCAACATTATTGATCATCATGAGGC